GGAGTCTAGTTTAACCCATTAAGCTATTAGGGAATGTGTGCAGAAGTGGTGGGTCGGTGGGAGAACATGGAAGTTTCAGGTTTGGAAAACTGTGCTACCATTGCCAATTCATGTAACCAGGACATTGGAACTTGAGGATAGTTCTGGGTCCACTTAAATTTAAAAAAGAAAGAAAGGAAAAAAAAAAAATTGTAACTAAAGAACTACCTACTTTACTTCAATCTTTTAACATGTTGTTGTTTTGTTGGTAAATTTGATGGTAAAATAAAAAATAAATAAAAATAAAGATAATATTAATACAAAATATTTTACGTGAAGAATTTTTAAAAAATATAGAGTACAAATTACGAGATAAGTGTAAAAAAATTTATTATGAAAAATAAAATTTACAACTTTCTCTTTAAATTATACAGAGAGAATAATAAGAATCACTCTCTCATATAAATAGGAGAAACACCTTATAAAAAAAATACTAGAGAAACTAAATTTCTCTCTCACTATGAGAATTCTCTCTGAAGAGTGAGAATAAGAATCTTAAGCCATTCTTCCAAGCCCCTTTATATAAGCTCCAATAACGAACCGTGACCACGAAAAAAGAATTGATTAATTTGTGATTATTCATTTTATTCGGCCATTATTTAATCGCTTGACTAAATCTAATTCACATAATTTTGTGAACTTAAATTACAGACCTAGAGCTTTTCCAATTTTAGGCCTTTTGGCCTAAGCCTCATCCAACATGTTTTTCATTTAGGGTTGGCGGTCAGACATGAAGAGGGTGAGGAAACTGTGTATATTTATGAAAAGAATTTGAAGGTGTGGTTTGCAGATCTGAAATGCATGTGGATTAATTGATTAAAACGAAAAGAGGAGATATGAGAGAAGTGAGAACAAAGAAAAGGTGAGAAAAGGTTGCGTTACGCACGCTTTTTTTTTTTTTTTTTATTAAGCATGCATCACTAGGCACTCCTCAAGTCATATCATGTATATGGACTCATCACTCATGACTATGTCTACAAATTCTTACACAACATTAGATAATTTATTTTTGTCAAAAGCAGATACAAATCCACTAGAATCTGATAGAATGTTAAAAAAAAATAAAACTTTATCTATATAATTTTTACCAGAGTATTGCGCGTTTTGTGAAATCGTTAAAATAGAATGTCGTCGTCGTCGTTAAAATTTTTACTAGAATTCTTTGTTGAACATCGCCGTTTATAAAAAAGACTTGTCGTTTCGTCGTCATAAACAGTGTTATTTTATCAAGGTTTTATTTTCATTTGAATATTTTTCTTCATCTAATACGATTTTGATTATTCTCTGATTTGATTACTAAATTCTATAAATAGAATATCATTTAATACTTTATTTTCAACTTGATATTTATGCATGTTAACAATATTATTAATCCAACAACACACGATGATTATTAGACTATAAACAAGACAAATGAAAGAGATGTTGGGTTTATTAAGATAAGAAATATAGGTGGGGAAAGTTATATAGGCATGACCATAGAGACTTATAGGCTCACATGGAGTAACCAGAAAGCTCATGGGGGGTCTTTGCTTAAAGACAAACCACATGGGTTGGCAGCCTGACCCCCTGCTTTTGATGATTGGAACCCCACCCGGCAGAACTAGACCCCATTCATATAGGTGACTGTGAGGTAAATATTTCCCTTTAAAGATTGTGTTTGGCTAGTAGGAAACTGATTTTCCGAGAAAGGAATATTTTGCGTTTCCATGTTATGGGATATGCCCAGATCGGATCCATGTATGTGCAGTGTAGCAGTTACTCCCAGTAAACCAAAAACATTAAAAAAAAAAATTAATAATAAAAAAATGGAATATGTATTTATAACTAGAAGACACAAGACCGTTAAGGAGGATTAGTGATGCCAGAGTGGAATTGTGAAAATGACACTGTACTGTTATATCTGATTATTATGAGAATGTGGGAAACAAAAAGACCGAAATGGATTTCTTTAAATTCTTGAAACGATATGTCACGTGTTAGTTGATTATTGCAAAATGATATATAGACTTTTTAAGATATTAAACTAAGTTATGCATTTTGTGACTCTCGTGTTTGTTCCTTTTATCTTCAATAAAAATAATGAACCGCAATATTAGATAAACATGATTTTCATAACCATTTTCTGCTCTGTCCATTTTATAAATTAATTAAATTCTAACAAAAAGGGAAAAAAAAAAATTGATAAAATACTTCTCAAACCTAAGCTTATTTTACGTCACGTACCTCCGATATATTATATATATATATATGTAAATATATTGTTATCAAAAGGTTTAGCTGAGTTTTATAATGAGTCTGCACCAACACATAGATTGGTGTAATCGTATTTAACAAATCCAAGTTGGCTTCGCATAACTATATTTTGTAATCCTTGTTCCCTGGTCCTCACATTGGGGAGTACTCTAGCTTTTCGGGAAAATTTATAATGCACATTCTTAAGCAATGTCATTAAGCTTGCATTTAAGCACATTTTCTTTCTAATCTCATGGATACAATTGGATTTGTGCGCTGTATAGAAACCAAGATCCGCAAAATTCACCAACCTTGAATATTTATAGGTAGTGTATAGTTATGCGTGTGTGTATATCTGAGAGTCGTCACGTACAATATTTGCTAAAACCACAAGCAAAGAGGCGCTGAGAAATATTTTAATTCAATTCAATTTCTCTCGAAGTAAGTTGACCGTTACTTGCAGGCCAAATGCCAATTAAAGAGGGACAAATTTGAGGAGATTCATAACAGAAAGTAAACTTGCGGCTATGGTGTTTGTAGAAATTTAGTGAAGAAGACTATAAAGAGGAATTTGGTAAAAGCTATGCTCAGCCAAAGAGCCAGAGATTAGGGTTTTTATTAATATAGTTATGTACAACGAATTAGCTAAATACGGCATTGTTCATTTTACTAATTCGAGTTTTTAATTTCAGTTTTGTTACAGTTAAAAGCTCTCATAAAAAGTTATATCTAACTTTTACGTTACAGTAAAAAGTTATCACATAAAATCATATTTTAACTCGAATTAAAAATTTAAATCCACAAACTGAACGAGACCTGTAAGTGAACCAATCATAAAAAATAACTGTACACAAGAGAGAATTGTAGCTAATACACTTGACAAAAATAACTCACTCTGGCTAGGCGAATATGCACGACACCTCACTGATGATATTGTGTTCTAACAATAACAGATATTAATTAAGGGAAAGCGAAAAACCCCGAGACGATATTTTTTTTCCAGTTGAGAGTAATTAGTGGGGACTAAGGCCATAGCCTTGTCGTAAATTAATGCGTTACGCCATCAATTATCAACCACCGTGAATACTAAGCTGTTGACTCAAAAATAAGACTTTTCCTTATACGTAGTCATCAGATTGAGCCATTTTCATAACCATTTGTAAAATTTAAGTCTCGTTCACTTCGCGGATTTGAGTTTTCAATTTGAGTTGAGATGTGACATTTTTTGAAAATTTTTCACTGTAACAGAAAAAGTTAAATGTGACATTTTCTGAAAATTTTTTATTATAAAAATCTAAAATTGAAAACTCAAATCGGTGAAATGAACGAAATCTTAGAGGAACACGGGCTCTAGTATAAAAGTCCAAAATATTCACAAAATTATTTGTAACATAGAAGTCCAAACGAAGTTGGTTTTTTTAGATGTTTTGGATATTTTCCGACAATTGATAACTTCTAGCTTTTGGACGTTACTAAGCTAAAGCGATATACATCTAGACAACTAACTAATGTAGAAAAGGCACGTAGAATTCCAAAATCCAAACCCCACTGTACTAAACTCCTACATTTGGCTTTCGCTCACCACAAGAATTTAAAAAAAAAAAAAAAAATGTTGGTAACGAGACCTCACGGTCACGGTCTCTCAGGCGGTGAGCCATGGCATTGTGCGAAGAACCGTAACCCCTTGAAATTTTTCCTCAGCTCTCATACACGTGGCACGTTATAAAATGACCCAAACTTGCCATAAATAAAAATCACCATCATCATGTGCTCTAACATGACACGTGGAAGAAGATGATCCTTCCACGTGGTCAACAGCCGAAAGAGGTCCACCGAATTCCGAGGCAGTTCGTCCGGTAGTGGGAGTGAGTAGTGAGTGAGTTGGAGAGCCTGCCCGGACGGTCCGTTATTGGCGAGCCGGTGACAACCCACTGAGATAAGAAAACTCACAATCTTTGAGGATCGGGAATTTAAAAAACGTTAGGTTACTGTCCAAATGCTCACGTGTAGTCCTTAATACTTTCTGAATTCTGAGCTCTCTCTCTTCCCCTTATTCTTCTTCGCCAGTCATTAAAGATTCAAGACCCTCCATTTATTTTTCCCTTTTTTTTTTTAATCAATCAAGTCCTCAACGCCCTCCCTCGTGATTCGCGTTACTGGCTTCATATCCATCCCCGTCTTATTATCATCGTTGTTATTTGTTACCGTAATGAACGGTTGAGATCTTTCGCAACATGATAATATTATTTAGGTAAAGCAGGAACGGCAAATCAGCGGAACGGAGGAGTTTTGGGAACGACGTAGTACGGGGTCAAAGCTAAGTCGTCGTTGAACGGGCACGAAACTCGAGGAAGTGGGTTACTTCTGACGCGTATACATCATCACCCACGGGGGCTCCCGCAAAATATAATAATAGGAAGGGGGGAAAAAAATATAAAAAACGAGTTCGTTTCAATTTTTCGTTATTTTCTGCTAGGGAAAAAACCAAGTCCTTAAAAATTTGATTAATTTTAGAGAGTCCCCAAATTTCGAAGGCTCGAAGCCCGCCATCGTTCGAGAGAGGACCCAATTTGCTGAATTTTTAATTTTAAGACCAAAAAAAAAAAAAAGTACTCGTTTGACATTTTTGGAAAAGGAAAGGGTAGTTAGGTGATTTCAAGCAGCGCCTGACGTTACCATTAAGTCCGCCCACCCTTTAAAAGACCAGAAAAGCGGGAGACGCTGGTAATAACGGTACAATTAGTCAGATGAACTGAGGGGGGGACACGAGAGTGACTGAGTGAGAGAGAGAGAGAGAGAGAGAGAGAGAACGGAAATGGTGAAATCAGGACGTTGAGATTTGAGAGGCGGTGAGAAGAGGGTGAGATTTTTCTTGTGTTTTTTTGGGTTGGCGAAGATGACGACGGGGATGGTGCAAGACCAGAATCTGGAGAAGCATATAGAGAAGCAGATGGGTTGCATGGCCGGGTTCCTTCAGATCTTCGACCGCCACCAGATTCTCGCCGGAAAAAGACTCTATTCAGCCAAACGCCTTCCTCCTTCCGTCGTGAGTCTCAATTAATCCTCTCTTTAATATAATATCGTTTTCTGTTTGTGTTCTTGGAAAGTAAATGGAACTGAGATTGATTTGATTTACTGGAATCTCGCAGTCGGTAGATTCTCCGCCCGAGTCAGAGAAGTCCGTTGGATCTCCAACGGTGTCCAGGGAATTGGAAAAGCATCACAATGCCAAATCAACTCCCTCACCGGACCGATTGAAGAAACCTCCTGTGGCAATGGAGCTTCGATCTCCTGTGCCGGAGAATCACAACTCGCCGGCGTCGGAGAGTCTTCCGCCGAAGTCTCCTCTGCCTCTTCCGGTATTTGATTTTAAAGAAGGTACCAGAACGTCGTGGAAGTTCGCCAGAGAAGCTCCTAGGCTCTCTCTGGATAGCAGGGCCACTGTGGACGCTAAGGGAAGCCTCTACCCGAGAGAGATCAGAACCAACGCAGCGATATTGTCCGCCAATCGATGCGAGAACTCGACCAGTGGTGAAGACGACTGCGACAATCAACGTCGATCGCCGAGCGTGATTGCTCGGCTGATGGGACTGGAACCGTTGCAGCATTCAGATCCCGAACCGGTGAAGAAAGCCGAGCTGAGGAGATCTGCTTCGGAGTCTAGAGTTTCCAAGGATCTGTATCAGTACCGCTTCGTTGACGGCAACGCTTTTTCGGCGAAACAACAAACCACTCACGCTAACTTTTCCGGCAATGTAGTCAGAGACAATGCTGTTAGAGAAGATCGGAGTATTTGCAAACTCAGACAGGCAGATCCGAAAGCGTATGTGAAAGCAGATCCGACAAAAGCTCAACACCATAAAGGGATTGGACAGAGGAAGAGCTACTTTGATTCGGCTGACTTCTTTCCTGAGCCTAAACAAACTTCATCTGTGTACAGTGAGATCGAGAAGAGGCTAAAAATGCGAGGAATCGATGAGCCTGCCAAGGATTTGGAGACTCTGAAACAAATCCTCGAAGCTCTGCAACTGAAAGGTCTACTGCATTCCAGGGCGCCAGCTTCAAACCAAATCGATTACAGGAACTTCGTCTACGACAGGAGTTTCTCGAACGACGAATCTCCCATTGTCGTCATGAAGCCGGTCAGATATCCGGCACCGACTAGTCGTTCGCCGAGGTTTGTCGGCAACGATTCACCGCCTCCATCAAGTTCTCGATCGAGACCTACCGGTGACCGACGTAACCTGAATCCCGCCGGCGACGCATTGCTGGCGGTGAGTCCTAGGCGTGACCGGCGGGACATCGACCGGAGCACGCGGAATCAAAGCCCTAGCAGATACTCTAGCTCGCCGGTGAGGAGCGAGAGCTGCGTGAGTCCGAATAGGAGAAGGCCGTTGAGCATCGAGGTACAAAGAAAAGGTAACGACATCGTAGAGCATAGAAGAGTCTCTCCAGTCCACTCCCCTAAGCTTAATTCGAGAAGGATCGCATCAGAGCAACAACAAACCCCAAACCGATCACCAAGGAACAGGAAACCGACGGCGGAGATGTACCGGAAGGAGACGAAAGTTTTACCTCCGGTGGAGGACGAATCTTCTACGATGTCGGAGGGTACCATCAGTACGTCCACCGATACAGAGGTGAGTTAAGAGTTTGACCGCGAAAATCTTTAATTTTATCCAAGTATTTGCATTAATAAATAAATAAAATATTAAAAACATTTTGTGGATTTATTACAGAGAGCCAAAGTGGAGGAGTACAAGGAAGGAAGGAGTCTGTTGGAGAGGTGTGATAAGCTGCTTCACAGCATAGCTGAGATCACTACAACCAACGAGTTACAATCGAGTCCGGTTTCGGTTCTTGACTCGTCGTTTTACAAGGACGAGTCGTCTACTTCCCCTGTCATGAAGCGGGCTATTGACTTCAAAGGTAACGAGATTCTTTTTTTTCTTTTTTTTTATAAAGATTTTCATCTTTTGAATTTGTCTTTTTCGGGTTGATTTTAATGTCTAGATTTTGCATTTTGACTATGGTGACGTATGTTGCAGTGTAGATTTAATGTCTACACTGCAATTTAGCTCCTTTAGGTTTACCAGTAGACTTGTACTGTCCTAACACTATAATGAATGACGTCTAGTTTAGTTCGTTCATCTTTTCCAATCAACACACGCCACATCGGCGTCAACAAACTGTACCATGGATTTCACCATCTCAGGCATTATTTTTTAGCGTAATAATGTCAATTCTTACATGGTAATTACGTCGTTTTAGCTTATTCTTCATAAAGTGGAGGCGTTTGATAATGACGCCTTCTTTTTATATAGTAAAGTTGGAACTATAAATTCTCACTGTAGTTGGGTCATCCACCGAATTAATAGGAAAATGACCTTTCTTTTTCCTCTTTTAATATTTCCTTTTACCTAAGTTAATGCGATTCCCTTCAACTCTCTGTAAAAAAAAAAAAAATGAATGGAGTGTTTTTATTTTATTTTATTTTTGAGAAAAGAGTGAGGATATTTTCTCGGGAAAATAATTTGTTTCTTTGGTTGAATTTTCAGATCAACCAAACGAGTTGGAAGATGAGACAATATGGGGATCCGCACTCTCCTCGTCCATTGACCAATCAGAGGTCTGTGATTTGGTCTACATTTCGGAGATCGTCCGAGCTTCCAATTACTTACCGGAGGATTCAGACATTTTCCTATTGCTAGAGAAGCAACAACATCTCAAAGGAAACGACACCTCCAAAGTGTCCAGACTCCAAAGACGTCTCATTTTCGACACCATCACCGAAATCCTCGACCGGAACCGGAAATTGCCGCCGTGGAAGGTAGTCTCTCCGGCGAAGTCAACATCGCTGCAGCAGATTTGGTCGGAGTTTAGGAGGATCCGAGAGAGAGATGAATCGGAGGACTTGTTCCAGGTGATCTGTGGAGTGCTGAGGAAGGACCTAGAAGGAGATGCCGTCCATGGATGGGGAGATTGTCCAGTCGAAGTCTCCGAAGCCGTCTTGGACATCGAACGGCTCATATTCAAGGATCTGATCGGCGAAACAATCCGAGATTTAGCTACTTTTTCTGTGAAAAGTTATAAGCCCCTGTCATCTTGTAGGAAGTTGGTGTTCTGAAAGCGAGGGAAAAAAGAGAAAAGAAACGTTGAATGAATAATATTTTTCGCGCGCTTTTTTTTCAGGTTTTTTTTTTTTTCTTTTTCTTGTGGAATATCATTCTTAGTTTTACTTTACTTTATTCTATATTAGATATTTGGTCATTTTATCTCCGTTAGTCTTAATTATGCATTTCAAATCTATAAAGTAGAAAACAGAAAGATTTGAATGTCTTCGGAGTTGTTTTTATTTTTGTTTTTTATGTTTTTTGAGAAAAAAATAAAATCAAGAAAGAAGACATAATTAAAGATAAAAAATAAAAATAAAAATAATTTTTTAATTTAATGTAAAATGAGAGATAAATAAAAAAATAATTTTAATTATTTTTTATTTTTTATTTTTATTTTTTTCTCTCTTGATGAAAGAGATATATTAATAAATTTAATAGATTTTTTATCTTATAAATAATCTCTTAATAAAATTATTAAATATATTTTTAAAAATAATTTTTATCTAAAAATTAAAAATATTTTAAAATAAATTTTAAACGCACTCTTTATTTTTATTTGCATGTTTGTTTGTCCCACCGTTTTCAAAAAGAAAAAGTAAGGAAGTGCACGTGTTTGTGCCATCAAGTGAGTATTAAGCAAAAAAAAGTATGTGCGTCAGTGCGTGGCGTTGCTATTAAGTACATATGAAAAGAGGGATCTTCTTCGACCTCGTTTTTTTATTTGTATTTTCTGTTCGAATTAAGATGTTTATTTATATAAAAATTTTTAATTATAATAACAAAATTTAAATATAATTTTTTATAAAAATTTTTGATCATAATAAAATTTAAATTTAAATTTAAATTAATAAAATAAATGAGACCGAATCATGAAGTCGGTCTTTTAACATTAAATTAAAAAAATATGTAAAATATACAATTTTTATACATATCTGGTTTTTGAAAAATAGAGAATTTTTATTTTTTCCAAATTTACTAGACAAACTCTCTAAAGAGAATAAGAATTCACTGTAAAAAGAAAAGGTCAAATTAACTGCAACGAAACAGTATTAAGCGTTATCTTTTAGCTGGAAAGTGTTAAAAGCCAAGTAGGTTCATGTGATTTGTCCTCTAACTCAGCACTGCAGACTTTTTTAATTGAACTTTTCTAAGGTCACGAGTGCATCATATTTCATTCTCTCGTGGTTATTGTCCAACGTTTTTTAAGCATTGTTTAACCTTTGAAGCGTGTGTATCTATAATATTTTGTACAACTAATAACTCTTATATTGTATTTAGCAACCTCTTTCCCGTTTGTGTTTTAGACCCGTTTAGTTCGTTGATTTAAATTTTTAATTTGAAATGAGGTGTAATTTTATGTGAAAATTTTTTACTGTAACAAAAAAGTTAGATGTAACTATTTCTGAGAGTTATTTACTGTAATAGAACTTGAATTCTAAACTCAAATCGGTGAAATTAACGGGACATCAATCTCTCAAATAAGACGTTACCACATTTTACGCTGCCTAGACTTGTTTACATTGTTTTATTCCGGTCCCTATTATTCTCAATTATTTGGATATGTACAATATTGGGGCTCACACGTTGGCTGCGTTCCTTGTATTGGTATGACACAATTTTTTCAATAATGGAATGCGGATAATATAATATATAAGATATTGGAAAGGTTCATATTATGCTGGGATTGGGAGGTGTCCAAAAGGGTAAGAGCTCATACTCGTACTACTGAATTATTAAGGACGTGTTTGAAACTCGTTTTAAAATAATTTTATTTTTTATATTAAAATAAAAATGAAAACGTTTTCAATCTCAGACAGAAATTATTTTTAAAAATGCATTTGATAATTTTATCAAGAGATTGTTTTCAATGTAAAAAAATTCATTAATATCTCTTTTTCTCTCTCTACTCGAGAGATGAGAAAATGAAAAACGATTAAACTAAAAAATTGTTTTTATTTCTGTTTTTTTATCTTTTTTGCGTGAAATGCCGTTTTGAAAACGTTTTCATTTTTTTTTTAAAAAATGTGAAAAATAAAAACATGATCAATTCCAAACACAGTCTCAATATTTTTTATTTTTTTTATTTATCTACATTTGTGGGCCTGTGACTCATTTTTATCTTGGCCATTTTGTTGTGGGCAATGTGGCCCCTTTAGCTGTTAGATTGGTCCCTTCTCTTCCACTAAGATAGCCCATCTATCTCTTCAAACACAGCTAGCGAGGTTGGTTTTGTCTCCTTCATTCTATTACTCGCTTCGTCCCTTCTCAAGTAAAAAACTTTAAATGCGAAAAAGGGTCAAAACCCAAGAATTTCTCAAAGAAGTTTAGAAATGAGGTCCCTTTCAATGTCACCTCAAAAGGGCACAGACTTATCTACCTATGTTATAGACGTGGATGGGTGCTCTGGCAAAGGCACATGACACTTTTATGGGCTTTTTCTTTCAGCGGGACATTGTTTTTGGAGCTAAGAAGGAAGTGAGAACTTGGGGGAAAAAAAAATGTAAAATAGAAACGGTTAATTTCTGGGGAGTTTGTTTGGAAAAATTAGAAAAAATAAATTATGAATAATTTTTTTACTTTACAGTTATCAAATTTATAAAAAAAAAAAACTATTTGTTTTATATATTTTTATAATTTAATATAATTTTAATTAAATTTAATGATCATAAATTGACACTGTTGGTAAAAAAGTTCATCGAAAGGTTCCTAATTTTTGTCCAAAGCATTGTAAGTTTGTATGGGTTGGTTGTCATGATCAGTGCAGGCATTGTCCCCTTCGTTGGGGTCTCATTTAGATGTAATATTTTTTTTATATTGACTGGCAATGTGAGTTAATTATTGGCTCAGTGGGTAGTACTATCCAATCAAAGCAACCTGGGAAAGGAGCATACTCCCTGGGCAATTTCACTTAAAAAAAAAAAAAAAAAAAACAGGCCGTTCAGTTCGTCATTTGAGATTTTTAATTTGAGTTAAGATGTAACTTTATATTAAAGTCTTTAATTGTAATAAAAAAGTTAAATGTGATTTTTTTTGAGAACTTTTTACTGTAATAAAATTGAAATGAAAAACTTAAATCGGTGAAATGAACGAAGCCTTAAAAAAAAAAATAGAGAGATTCTCTCGGTAAACTATGAACGCGTTTAGAATTCTTTCTAAAATAATTTTATTTTTTATATAAAAATAAAAATGAAAACGTTTTCAATCTCAGGCATAATTATTTTTAAAAATGCGTCTTGTAGTTTTATCAAGAGATTGTTTTTAGTGTAAAAAAACTCATTGATGTCTCTCTTTCTCTCTCTGCTCGAGAGAGGAGAAAACAAAAACAAAAAATGAAAAACGACTAAAAGTCATTTTTCATTCTCTCTCATTTTACACTAAACCAAAAAATCGTTTTCATTTCTGTTTTTTGTCTTTATTGCGCCAAACGTCATTTTGAAAGCGTTTTTATTTTTTCTTTCTTAAAAAACGTGAAAAACAAAAATGAGATCAATTCCAAACACAACCTATATTTTTTTAACTATTAGATATGCATACTTTTAACTTTTACGTGATTTTATGTAAATTCGACAACAAAAACTTAGGCTATCAATATGTTGGCATACTGAAGAAGGTCCTAAAAAATGAATATTAAACTGTATGTTTGATTAATTAATGTTTTATTGTTTTTAGGAGCTAAATACTTAGAAGAAGCATTTGTAATATGCATTAAGGTTCTTGAATCCAGATCCCAAGTCTGAGAGCATTTGTGGTGCGGTGTGTATTAAGGTAAATTTTAGTACGTGAGTAGAGAAAGCACTTTTCAATGCAATTTTTTCTTTTTTTATACTAAGAATATCATATGTCAAAATTTGACTTAATCATTATTTAATTGTCATTTTCAACTCACTTTAAAATTAAAACTGTACTTTTATAAATTTCAAAACTTAATATTTATAACAAAAGGTGGCTGTTGTTTTTGAAATAAAATTATGATTAGAGAACACAATATAACAAAATGTTAAAATGTCATATTGACACCTTTTAGTGCCAAAAGTATTGAATAGGTTAGATTTGTGTTCGTGTCCTTCATGGGCATGCATTCTGGGCTTCAACGAGGCCTCATCATTGGGCTAGAATAGTTGTGGATCTATAAGCCCAAATCCAATTCCTCAAAAAAAAAAAAAACTCTTCCCTGAAATCTGTTTGTTTGACTTTTGGACCTTTTTTTATTCTCTGAAAACAAGTGCTCTCAACCTTTGACTGCCGACGTGACCTTTGACTTTTCGACTTGGTCAACCTCTGACTGCCGGCGACCTTCATCGATAACCTCCATAGTTATACTGTACGGTACGTAGCGATTAACGAGTAACGACGGCTAAACGTTACATTTTTTTTAATGGAAATTAACAACGTTAAATAAAATAAAAAAGCATTATATTCATCTACAAAACCAAGCTTTTCGATATACATTATATATTTCTTTATCAGTCATTATATTATTACAAGATGTCGTGTTTAAATTGAACTTTTGGACTGATAATATTTGTATATTATATGAAGATTATTTTCTATGCAAGCTTTTGTTGTTTTCTTGTTGGATTATGTTTAAGGATCAAGCTTAAGAAGCTTAGTTTTACTTGATTCTGCAAATGATTGTTAACTGATTAGTTGTTAGATTTTCATTTATAACAGTTTAGTTTCAAAATTATAGTTAGGTACATAAGCTAGTTTCAAAATTATGGTTAGTTACATAAGCCAGTACACGTAAGTTATGCCTACTGGTGTTAGAATAGAATAGTTGGAACTCTAATCCACCTATTTAAGATTTTTTTTGCAGATTCTAATCAGAATGAGAATTATTCATTTCTTTCCGTTTCGAGTTCTTTGAAACTCTCTTTACAGTCTTTCTTCTTTTTCTTTAGTTTACATTTTATTACTTGTGCGAGTAAAAGTGACAACTGTTAGTTTATTAATCCATTCTAAAAACTTAAGTTGTTAAGAGACGTGTCAAAAATAATTTTACATTTAAATAAAAATAAAGAGTGTAATTATATGAGTTTGAACTCAGGAATTTCCACTCTGATACCATATTAGGTT